CCACTAAGGAGATTGAACATAAATGATTAAAAATCCTTGTATCAACAAGCTCTATAACTTATGACCTATAAATCGAAGAAGTCAAAGATATCGAAATCGACGACAACAAAAAACTTTCTTACTTTTTACCAACTGGTTTGTTCCCAATAATATTATATCAAATTCTTTGTATACAACATATTTGATGTTGACATTATGCAACATATTTTATGTTGACATCTGCAAAGTCCGCACAACACGCATGCACGAGTTGGACATTGAAATTCCTCAAAGGAAAAACATTGCTATAAATTTATATCTACCAATTCTTATTGTGAGCACATATAGAGATACAAAACCCTCAGACATAAAAATTTGATATATTTCGTACCACACTATCATGCACACTAGTTCCGTACTGCTCTACGTTTAGATTTCGAGTTATAAAATGGTACATGAGAGTGTTGATCTTGATAATTGGATGAAAGATGATGAATGGACCTCCCATTTCTCTCGATTTCATTAGAGGTTGAAGCAAACTAAGAAACAGATCTAATTTTCATTCCATTTCATTGATGCTTCGAGATCATTCAGATCTGATGGTGAACTGGTGAGTTAAGAGACCGTTGACGCCATTGTCGATGAAAGCAAAGCGGTGTCAAACTATTTAACGACATCGGAGACCAAAGATATCAAAGAAAGTCGGAGCCGTATGAACTAGTCCGAGATTTGTGCTTGTGAGCGATGACCGACGGAATTGTCTGAACTCGTCGGAGATTCCGGGTAGCGAGCGACGACGTAGTTAAACAAATGATGAGCATGTAACAAATTAAGTGTTTATAACACAGATATATAATAGGTTTTTTGTTGAATTAATGACAGTATTAATGGAAAAATAAGTAATAAATGGTAAGTTAGGAACTAAAACTATGTTTAACGGTATTTAAAAGATTTTCTCTTAAGAATATTATTTCGAATTGGCTTTAAGTTGACCTTAAAAAGCTGTTGACAAATTATTTAAACACATACAATGCTTGTTCCGTTCATTATTTTCTGTAGGAGTTAATTTTTACAAGCTTTTCTTGGGCTCTATTTCATAATTGGAAAAACACTATTCTGTATTTAGTTGGGTCATTCTAGCTAGACTCATCTATTTCACGGATCAAGATTGAGTCATCATAATTAACATCAAACATACATTAATATAAAAAAAACACATATGCTACATGCAAACAGTCCATACGAGCATGTGCAGGCTATGCCACTTAACCTTGTTTATTGCCTTCCACTTAGGGCCGATCGGATCAAATTCTCGGGAGCTCCTCAAGCTACCAAAAAATGAGAAAATTGTCTACATTGACATGAACAGTGACAAAAATTGTATGGACTGCCACTTTCTTAATTGGCTTCTCTCGCCTGCCACACTCAACAACAAGAAAGACAATTTTGCCCTTATTTTTTAAAAAAAAATTATTCCTTTTTCTCTCTCATTTCACTCACCTTTTTATTTCTCAACACTTTTTGTTTCTCTTTTTTTTATATATCTCTTCTTTTTCTTCTACATTGTTTTCTAATTATCCACTTATAATTTTTTTTAAGTTTCAAATTGTTTCAATACAACATCTATTTTGATCTACCTGCTTCTGTTGTAGATGAGATAAGATGTTTCATTTGAAGATGTGTGTTACACCCGGTGGACCGGATCTATTAGCCAAATTTTGCATTTGTCTTTCAATGGACGAGATCTGGTAGATCGATGGACTAGATCTGATGGACTAGATTTAGTGGACCAGATCGGTGGACCAAATCTGATGAAAACATCATGGACAAATATTCATGACACATTCGAGCATCAGTTGTCCATAGACGGGTAAAATAGTAGGTGATGAAAGTATGGTTTCCACTATACTGGGTGGACAATATGAGTAAAAAGTCCATGGTAGCAGCTCGGATGGTGGACAACTGGGGTGTGTAGAACTACATAAGAGGATGGTGGACAACTGGGTGTGTAGAAAAAACCTTCTTTTTTTTTTGATTTGCTATCTAAATACAAACAAAATCAATAGTCCTATGGTAATAGCTTACGTTGTCACCAATTAATACCCCCTGTAGCTGTCGAAAATAATGTCTCATCCCATCAAGTTTTTGAAAACTGTGCAAAATGCTATCCCTTTGGTAGAGGGTATTTTCGTCTATTTGCCCACAACCTTTTTACTGTGTATGGCACTTCATAGAAGACCAAAAGAAAACTAGTAGTTCCAATTATTTTGGGTGTAAAACTGGCATTATAGATAATATTCCCCCAAAAATATCTCAAATACTCTTTTTCTAAAAACTAATTTAAATTTTATTTATTTAAATCAGAAAATAGAAGAAGACTTCATAACCCTTAAAAGTATATAGTATGTACGACTCAACCAATCTAATTGGTTCTTTAATTACCCGAACCCATTTTTTCTGGGTTGAATTTATCTTAAGCAATTAACAATTATTATTTTTTTAATTTTCTAGATTTCGAATCTTCTTCTCTTTCGCATAATATAGAAACCCAACTGTGTCTCTTCCTCATATATGGATAAAGTTATGAACAACTCCAAATTTGTATAACTTCATATCGATTTCTTCTTTTCGATTTAAGTTTAAGAAATTTTGTTCTCAAAACCGTGCACAACTAAGTACAACTTGGTTCAATTATTCCCGTTTAAAAAAAAAATACTCAAACCAAAAGATACAATAGTCACCAATTCCAGTTGATTATGAAGAAACAAAGCCGTCTAATGGGGATTCAACAATAAATCTCTTAACTGTGTATAACTATGTATAACTTGGTATAACTATGTTGATTTTGTAATTTAAAAGTTTTTAAAACTAAAAAATACAACTTCATAAAACTTGGTACAACTTAATATGGATCGTATGATCGTATATAGATATTTTCAATGATTCCTTCGTCACACCTACACCTCTTTAGAATTTCATGAACCTTTACTATTGCTCGGGTAAAGGAGGTTTCACTTGAGTTCGAGGCTTGGGCTTTTTTCATATTGAGTATTCGAAACCATATCGACAAAAAAGATAAATTTATGTCTCAGAGTTACTCAACTGAACCAGTTGTACAAACTCAAATTGAATCTATAACTGTCGAGTATTGAAATTGAATCTTTCAATTTATTTGCAGGGAATAAGAGCTTTTTTGGTGTTGGTGGACTCGATGTCGCATCTTGTTTGGACATGATTTCTTCTAAAACCCTTGAAGTTCCCTTGCAGGAGAGCTCTATCGCTTATCGTTCTAGCACCCTTACATGGGAAACAGAAGATAACATGGCGAAGACTACCTCTTTACGGAAGAACACCCTCTTGTTGGCGTGGAAGGAATACATTTTGGTTTTGCACTTGTTGTTGGATTCTCAGCTCTTTACAAAACCTTAGAAGTCACTTGAAGTCACCGTTGAGCCAGGAAGAATTTTGCTTGTTCTCAACTTTCTTCACCTCCGGTTTATCTCTTTGTTTCTTGTGTTAATCTATTGTATTGTCTATGTGTTTGCAGCCTCTTCAGCCTTTAGTGCTGTGTACTTTGTAGCAGGTCTTATGCTGTCTTCCTCCTGTAATGGTGGCTAATTCTGTTTTTTTTTTCATTAATAAAATTGTGGTTTACAAAAAAAAAAAAAAAAAAAAAAACAATCACAAGATCTGAAATCGGATCTCAAATTATCAAAGCCTAATAACTGGGAAATTTGGGATTAGTTGGATGGGAAAATAAAATTAATTTTTTTTATTTAGACAAAATTTTCAAAAAATGGGGAAAATGTGGGCCACATCGTATAAACTGCACGTAAACACATGGAGTCACCAAACATGACACGTGGCACCGTAGAAATGAACATAGTTGTTCCTAGTTTCCAAGTTGTACTCTCTTTTATATAGTTGTATTTTTTGAGATTTTTAAGTATAGTCAGTTATACTTTTATTCAAACAAAACCTTTGTAGTTGGACTGAAGATTTTACTTATTTTTATTACATTCCCCATATCTTTATGCAAAAATATGAATCAAAACCTTATTTTTGTGTGTTTTTAATGTAATTGAGTTAACAATAAGATAGTCATCTTAAAACTATAAGGTCTTTCTTGTATACAAATGAATTTAATGAACACTATCTTCTTCTTTTTTTCTTTTCTTTTGATGCTATCTTAGAAGATTTGTCACACAAATTTCAATTAATAAAGTGAATATGAAAGATTATTAACATTTTCCAAAAAAATATATTTATAAAGTACTTTTGAATTTTTAAGAAATTGGTCGTAGTTGTACCGTTAGTTGTACCACATTTTACAAACTGAATACGAGCAAAGACATACGTAGTTGTACCATTACAAGACCGAGTTTTACCAAGTTATACAAAAACATAAACTACATATGTACATTGAAAAATACACTAATCTTGAATTTTATCTTGGCTGTGAAACTAGCTATCCAAGTTTCTCTCAGGCTGTCTTTAATGCTTTCGGAAGGTTAGTCTCTGTTTTTTCTACCTATGATTTACCACGATTCAGCAACTAGAGTCCATTCATATTTATTAATCGACCCATAATAGATTATAATTGTCAACACAAGTTTCAAATCTAATTAAAATCTCTAAAATTCAAATAAAACAACCCAAATCGATTTAATACTCTATGGATTAAAGGAGATTTAAGCTAAAAGTAATAGGAAAAAGAAAATATAAGATTTAAATATTTAAGCTTGAGTTTTAATGGTGAAAGACTGGAGAGGAAGAAGAGACGATGGAACCAATTTTGAAGTGTTTTTTTTTTGTTTTGACAAGCAGCAATTTTGGATTTTTTTATAATTAATTTAATTAAAAATTGGTTTGATGAATCGGTTTGAATCGGTTTGGTAAGGGAAAACTTGGGGATTGCAATTTTCATTAAGAATAGAGTGAACTTGGGGATTATACTAGGAAAAGGGAAAGTGTCTAGAATTAGGAACTCCCGAGAATTCAATCCAACAGAAATAGAGCAACTTTCTTCTCAGGCAAGACACATAATAGTAATTCAATTTCTCAACCTTTGAATCTCAGATCTCCGATTCGAAATCCGGCGAACATGGTGAGAGATATTGAGGCTGAGATTAGAGACGACCAATGACGTAGCAAAGCATTCTTCGTCAAAGTCTCTGACTCTCTCCACGCCACTTACGTTCCGATGAAATCCAACTACGAAAAAGAAGAATCTTGTTGAGATGAGGATGAGTTTGGATTCCACGAGAAAGAGTTGTTGGGATCAGAGTCCTCCGGTGATTCATCGCCGTGACGCCGCATTGCTTCTTTCTTCACCACGTCTCAAACCCAAATCGGTACAGGTTTTTTTATCTTCATCTTAGTCTCTTCTGTAAAGCGAGTTGATTTAGTTACTAAGCGCTTTTTGGTTTCTCGAATGTGAGGGTTTCGTCTCTTTGCAAACCAATTTGATTTTTTTTCCTAAGTAATTTCAAGCTAGATCCGTTCTTAGGTGCTTTATGATGTGCTTGATTGTTCTACTTAGTTCAATTCTGTGTTATTTTCTACTTAGATGATTGGGTATTTGCTGTATCTGCTCGTGTATCTGCTCTCTCCATATGCTGACCTTCGTATATGTCATACCTATGCAGGGGGTTAGGGCCTTACTCTGCACCTATCAAGAAAGCTGAGAAAGAGATTTAAGGAACTCACCAAGAAGATCAACGATCTATGTGGTATGTGCACACTCTTTGCTGCTCAAGTGTTGGGCTTACTTTGATTAGCTAATGACTTCTGTTTACGGAATGACTAAAATGTTTATTGGTTGCTTATATGGAAATATGCAGGTACCAAGGAGTCTGATGGTTTAGCTCGTCCCAGTCAATGGGATCTTGTATCTGATAAGCAAATGATGCAAGAGGAGCAACCTCTGCAGGTAGGCTTTCTTTCCTAGATAGTTGTCTGAAACGTCTTCTTATCTCATGGTGACTATAAGGGGTTAAGGTAAACGTTATTCTCTGTCCAGGTTGCGAGATGCACAAAGATAATAATGCCAAACACTGAAGACGCCAAATACGTGATCAGTGTCAATCAAATTGCGAAGGTACATTATAATATATACCTTGGCTGCTGTTTCTGTTATTCTGCATAATCAAGTGTGTGTTTTAAAGCCTTTAATGTTTGGTTATACATTCAGTTTTTTGGTTCTTAATTCCAGTTTGTTGTTATTTGTTGGTCACTCATCCATGTGTTAAGAGGAATGTTTCTCTTTCATTTTTGGAGTTCAGATTTTAGTTTCTAGAAACTTTGAAAGTTTTTCTTTTACTTCATGATTTATCTTGCACCTGAATGTTAAGGATGATCATATACACGTTTTTCAGGAGTATGCATATAGTGTTTGGTTGACTTATTGCTTGAGACCTTAGAGACCATTTCCTTATAGTCTCTCTTACACTCTCTTCTGATTTTTATGGTATTTTGAACAGAAAAATTTGTTAAAAATTAGTCTTATACACTCATGGTTGTTGTTATTTGTTGGTCACTCATGCATGTGTTAAGAGGAATATTTCTCTTTCATTTTTGGAGTTCAGATTTTAGTTTCTAGAGACTTTGAAAGTTTTTCTTTTACTTCATGATTATTCTTGCACCTGAATGTTTAGGATGCTCATATACACGTTTGTCATGAGTATGCATATAGTGTTTGGTTGACTTAATGCTTGAGCCCTTAGAGACCATTTGCTTATTGATTTTTATTTTTGACTCTTTATATCAAATCTTAATCTGAATCTAAACAATATAATGTTGAGGGATGCATGTAACTTTTGTTTGTTGATTCGTTAGGTTTCCAAGTTTACTAATCGTTTTATACTTTACTTAATGTTTTAGGAATATTTTGTTTCGATTCTAATCCTTGGGAAGCTTGTCTCCGCTTCAACGAGGTATTTCTTTTTATTTCTAATTTTTTTTTTGTTTTTCTTTAAAACCCAAAAATGGTCTAATACACAAAATACACAAAAACACAAAAAAACATTAAAACACAAAAATACACAAAGTTAGAGCTAATACACAAATACACAAATACACAAAAATAAACCAAAAACACAACAAAACACAAAAAACGAAAAAACACAAAAATACATAAAATACACAAAAAGATAAAACTTAGAGCTAATACGCAAAAAATACACAAATACACAAAAATAAACCAAAAACACAAAAAAACACA